GTAACGACGCCAAGTTATCCCCCCTCCCCCCCGCCTTTTCCTCCTTGCCGTGTCTCGAGTTTCTTGCGAACACCACTATAATAGACTGACGACTAGCTGCTTGCTGTTAACTCCTACTTCTTTCCCGTTGCCGTTGCCGCCCCGTCACATGTTTGGCGTTAGCTCGTTCTCTCTCTTCTATCGCTGCATTGTTGGCCGTAAGTCGCACCAAAACGCAACACCCGAACAAGCCCGAAGGAACAAAAGAAACGTTGAACGATGATCGACAACACATCCCCTGTAGACTACTGCAATACTTACAACGGCGGTGTAAACATCGTTTCGTTACTATTAATCCCCCTGCCCCCCCCGTATCCCGACTTCCCTGTTCCGTGCTCCGGTGGTCTTCGGGCGAGCACGTGCGTCGGACGCATGCGGGAAAGACTAACTGGTCTGACAGCACACTTTTCAATACTTTGGGGCTGCCTTCGCCCCCCGTACCTCCAGCACAAACATGTTAGACTCGAATGACTGCCTACTTTACAACCGACGGCTTTTCGGTTTCTCTTTTTCTCTCTCTCTGTCGCTCTCCAGGGGGGAAAAGAGACAACCTACTAATCGGATGCTTTTCCTACCACGTTAAAAAAGAAACAGATCGTGCTAAGCAAAATATAACAGCATAATCTCACACGCAATCCTACACCACCAAAAAAAAGCAAAAAGCAAAAAGCAAAAGAGAGAAACGAAGACAAGATAACACGTGTGTCGGATTTTTTGGTTCATTGCCCCACCACCCTTTATCTTCTTACTGGACGCCGCCCCCGTGCTGCTGCTTCTTGTTGACTTCGATCACCCCACCGCCGCCTACGGTTGTAGTCGTCGGGTCTATCACCGAAGGGCCGCCCTGCTGCTGCTCGCCAGCCGCCGCGCCGCCGCTGGGCATGTGCTGCTGCTGGGGAAGCTGGTACATCTGCGGCATGTACGGCGGGACGCCAACGTTGAGGCCACCGGCGGCGGCGGCGCCGCCCCCCGTCGGGTTCTGCGGCCCTTGTCCCGCCATGATCATCGCGTGTTGCTGCATGCCCATGTGCTGCTGCTGCTGCGGCTGCTGCTGCTGCTGCGGCGGCGGCGGTTGCTGCGGCCTCTGTGCGGAAGCAGCAGTGGCTCTAGCCTGCTGCTGCTGCTGCTGCTGTTGCTGCTGTGGGGCGCCACCGGCCTGAGGCTGAGGCCCGCTAGGGTGACCACCTCCCGCCTGCTGCTGCTGCTGCTGCTGTGCCCCCCCGGCGGAGATCTGCTGCTGCTGTCCAGGGAGTACGGGGGCGTTGGGGTAGGTGTACCCCTGG